TTTCGCACAACTCGTGCCCATTTGGCATCCTTGGAACGTTCATCCTGATGGTTGGGAAAAAGTTGGACAATGCAATGGAATTGAAGGATGTTTGCACTGCTGCTTCTAGATGGTTTGCCTTTCCTCTTTTATTCTGAAATTCCTTGCCGTGAGCCCATTTGCAAAGGACAAACTTGAGCCGTACAAGGAGAATCAGCGCTGTGCTGAGTTGATAGCTTAGTTTGTTGAAGGTTCGAATAATTGTGTAGGTCTTGAGAGTTCCATCATCCTGTGGAGCCTTAACCTCTACATACCAAGGCTGTTGAAGGGATTTGATGGACCCCTTCAAGAATTGAAGAGCCTCAATTCACAGCTGATGACCGCGCAGGGGAAATCATTGACCACAGCGCCAACACAGCCGCTTTCATGAAATGGTCCTGATGCCTTGTACATCTAAGGGTGAACTGCAACCCCCATCCTTCCTAATTAAGGAGCGACCGTGATTGGGTGGCATCCCTCTACATCAAGTGCACAAAACAAGATGTGGAGATGAATTTTTATCTCGCCAGGGCCAAGTGAGCGTCTTAGTCAGTTGGTTCCAAATTGTGCCTCCTGCATCATTTGCTTGTTTGGCCAGGAAGTGGAAACCACCGAAGACCCAGGAAGAGCTTGCAGCCGAGAAGGAAAAGAAAGAAAACCGGAAACGTGCAAAGAAGAAGAGTCAAAGAAAAAGGAAGTGAAATCAGAATCTGAAGAGCGGGATTCAGATGGAGGCGAAAAGAAGACACTAAGCGTGCATAGCTGCACGGCACATAATATACATATATATATATATGTATACCTACGCGTTCCACTTGTCTTCTTAACTTCATGTGTTTTAGCTGCCGTTCCCTTGATTTGAACAGACCACGGCTTGAATGGTGCTCTCGTCTCTAAAACTCAATCTAAGGAAAAAGAAGCACAAGAAGTCGGACAAATGACTGAGCCAGCACTTGTGACCGATAAGGATCTTGACCAGGTCTGCTTGCCTTTTAAATTTGTTGAGATGCTTTGTAGCAAAAGGAAACTAGGACTCAACCGTTGCACCCTTGGCACGCTGCTCACTTGATTGTTGTGGCAAGATGGCCGGTCTTTTTGGATCTAAAGGCCTCGCAGCTACGATATGGACTTGTGGCCTGAGTCATTTTGGTGTTGACTCGACAGGCCACATCACTCAGGTGCTTAGAAAGAGCTGCCCGTGACTGCTCACACATTCACCTGTCTTTGCTTTGCGAAATTCACACGTGGAAGAACGCCTTTGCTCATCATTGGCCAGGCATCGACTTGTCCAGGGACCCTGCCACAGGTGTGTTGGCTTGGCTTTTGAACATTGGATATCCAAGTGTTGTGCAGTAGTTGGAGTTGAGTGGAGGCCAAAATGTTTCCACGGATGATTCAGAAGGCCATTTCAATTGCATATACCTCTCCCTCTCTTTCGGGAGAGTTGTCATGGTCATCAATGCTAACCCTCCGCATGAAGTTCAAGCCTTAATGCCTTGAAGGCTCATCTGCAGAAAAGGACCAAGAAGAACGAATCTTTTCGAGCTTGCTGAGCAGTTTCGATTCCGGAGCAGACTTCTTAGTCCAGTGTGATCGCTGTCAGAAGCGTTTGCCTTTGTTTATCTTTGTTCCATTGTTTTTGCCAGGCTGACAATGCCAGGCAATGCGTGGCAGCTGCACAAATGACTCGAGGTATGGTGTTCGAAGATGGTAGCTTCTCAACTTGCGATTGGGCCACGTTTGTGTCTGAGTGTGCTACCGAGTTTGATTGGAGTGTGCTGTAGGCCACGTGCCTTGCATGTGCATCGTTGCCATGTCTCTCTCCCTTGTGCCCAACGTGTTTGATATTATGTGCATGATGTTTCTCAATTCATTTGAGGTCGTTCCAGGGTCCTCGACACCATCAACCAGTGGAAGTCCCCGAAGCACTTCTTGCGAAACATCACACGCTTGATTGAACGCTGTGGGATGGCTTTGCCCGTGGCAATTTCTACCATCAATGTGCCCTGCAAGTGGCAGGGGCGGCTTCAGAACATGGATTGGCCAGTGTTGAAGCTGTCTTCGTGGATGCGGATGATCATAAACGAGACTGATGGCGGCATGTTGCTGAATAACAACAGCTTTCAAGAGGTGCAGAAATGGGAATCTGAAGTCATGAGGTTCTGGTCACGCTACGAGAAGGTTTGTCCACAACATCCTGTTTCCAGGCTGCATGTTTGCTTGGAACAACAGCGTCGCATCAGTTCCAAGAAATTATGCACTGCTCAGGTTTTTGTTGAACACCGTGACAGACTTCAGCACTGCCTGCCGTTTGTATGGCACGGAGATGAGGGTCGAGGAAAAATCAAAAGAGCAGTGATGATAGAAAGTTTCGCTGCTGCGTTGGCATGGAAAGGGCACAGCTTTAGATCCAGGCTGTTGTTCACGCTAGTCCCTGGAGAATGCTATGCTGGGGACAACACTCTGTCGACACTTCATGCAGAGCTAGCTCGAGACCTGCAAGACCTTTTCACAGAGGGGATTGAGGCACAAACGTCATGCTATTGTTTCTGTTACAGTTCCTTTTGTGGATCTGTGCAACTTGTGAACCAGTGGGCAATTGTGATGCCATGCGTGAGGTGCCCCTGGGGAAGGACACCCTCCGCGTGTATTGTGTCTTTGTTGGTTGCCGAGGTGACTGGCCATACCAACGTGCCAAGGTTTAAATTGACTGATCTGTAGTTCAAAATGTGCTGTGCTTACATGCATTTAGCAGTTGCTCCAACTAAAGTGTCAAGGAAAGCTACACAATTTATCCAGTGGCTACACATCGACCAGAGTGTGCCACTATTGCAATTCAGAGGCTTGCAGCATACCACACGTGCTGACTTTCTGTTTATATGATAGCCTGCGCAGGGGTGGTGGGACCTTTCTCACTCTGCACCTTGGAGACGCGCCCGACCTGGCACTTCGGCAGTGAAAGCTCCGACAGCTCTATCCAGAATACCTGGATTTGGAGCGACGTTGTCTCCACCTGACCAAGCACACACTTGGTACATGGGATTTGGCCAGGACTTCACAGCGTCCTGTGTGGCCCCTTGTTTTAAAACAGGTTGGATTTGCATGATTTTACTTTTGCTTTCCTGGTCATGAGTTGTCTCAACATGTATGGTTGAGGTTCTGTTGGCATGCCGCTGGAAGTGGTGGCCTGGAAGGAACATGTCTGATCGTTTGGACGCTGCCTACGCTAGCTTCAACCTCTTTCGCCGTTCCCGCCGTTTGGCAACCTCGTTCCATGAGTTTAGCTTGAAGACCTTTAAGTGCAAATCGTTCCTTGGCAGTTTCTTGTGCTGTGTGTGCGTGTGAGGATGGCCCTATATTTTTGAACTAAGCGAATTGTGCAAGTGAAGAATTAGGCTAAGCTCATGGCCAAAGCTGAAGGGCAAGGGATTCGATGTGGCAGTTGTTTCAAAATGGCTTTGGCACGTGATTCAAAGCCCTCCTGTGAATCCTTCCCATGCACCTTGGCAGGGCACATGTAGACTTAGAGTATAGCCAGCTGTGATGTACAGTACTCAATCAACCGTTTGCATAGCATGTCCATTTTTTTGCTCAGACAGCGCCTGATGATGCTGTGAGCCTCCTTCACTTTACCCTGGAGTCTGTGGGCAAGTACTTCACTGGCATTTCAGGCCAAAGGTGGATCGAGAGGGACAAAGCGATTGAATGCGTGCAGTCATGCCAAAATATGTTGGTTTCATGTCTGCAAAAAGACTTGCACAAGATTGCAAGCTTTGGATTTTTTCGTTTGTAGGTCAAATGAAACATCTCTTTGGTAAGGAAGGGTACACAGCACTTGGAGCCTGGGCTGGCCAACGAGGGGCAAGTGGATGGCCTTTGTTCAAAACCCGGCCCAAGCAGCACATGCAAATGGAGATCCAGCCTCGCCCTTATATGTGTATACGTGCATGTAGTCTGTGGTTTGCTCATTGTTTAGGCTTTACATCCGCTGACAGGATGTGGATGCAGGACCAATTGAACGCTGGTGCGCAATCCATACTCTCGCCAAATTGTTGCCTGGTGGATCTCTCTGTGTGTGTGTATGTCTCAACTTTGTGGAGTTGAGATAGTTTAGATTAGTTTAGTGTGCATCTAAGTCTTTGCAACATGGTTGGACGAGGACTTCATTGGACGCGAGCCTCGGTTAACCATTGCTTGTAGCGTGACTGCACCTTGTATTGGACTTGAAGTTTGTTTGAGGTTGCGCGTGTGAGCCGGCGCACCCATAGCCTGACCATTTGTGTGGCAACCCTTAAAAGGTGCCTGGTGCACTACAAACGACGCTGGAGTAAGTGGATCAGGAACTAGAAAAAATGAAGTCCTGTGCTCGCTGCGGTTGCTTTACCTGAACAGTGAATGTCCACCTCCTTAAGAGGCCTGTCAGTATGGATGTGTACCCCTTAAGAAAAGAATCCGAGCACTTTATACTTTCCGGATTCCATTCGAGCACATTCTCGTGAACCGTGCGGAAACCAAGGATTCGATCATAAAACATGAAAACGCGCATAAAACAAAGCGAGCGCAATTTTAGGTAGCAATGGGGACTCCAGGCAGGAGCTCGGTCGAGGAAAATGACGTCAGATGGGATGTTCGAAGTGAGGGAGGTGAACGTTGTGGCATTTCTTGTTGGGAAAGCACCTACTCTTAGGCCCGGTGAACAACGCCCGTGCACATGTGCTCAGTGTGGTCTGCTTTGGAGGGATGGCCGTTGAACAAATCCTATGGATCAGAGAGTGGCGGTAGCATGGCGGTGTGCTAGGCATGGTGTTTGGCCACACGCAGGCGAAGCAACACTCCAAACAGCCCGAGAGAGACCCCAAACCCCCTGTCCGACCCCTCCGTATATGACGGTCCAGGAGCATCTGGGTTAAACCTTTCCACCTGGTGGATTCTAGAACTCGATTCACGTCGGATCGACGATCTCCTTTCTGCCAGCAAGTCTCTCCGCATCCGGCCACAAGGCCCAGCAAGTCTCCCCACCGCCGTGGAAGAAGCGGCTCATCCAAACGAAACGCCACGTGCGGCGTCTCCCGACGACGCGTCACGTGGCAGACGTGTGAGACGCGTAGGGCCGTGGAGGGACGCATGTGAAGCAAACGGCGCTGCCATAGCGCTCTGCCAGGTGCTGGTGAAGAAGGGTATGATTTGCTGGATATGTGAAAACCTCAGGCAGTTTGTTTTCCTGCTTTGATTTCCGGTCAAGGTAACCGCAGTAAAGGGGGTGAGTGCTCGATGGTCGCCGGGTTTCATAGTTCAACGGTCCTAGCATTGATCCTGATCCTGATGTCCAACTTCCAAGGATAATTCTGCGATCGAACTAGTCTGGTCTTTGTGACTTTAGATGCACAACGCCCGAAACCAATGTCCATCATGTAGATGAGCTCGATCTTTGAAAGCTTCCGCCCAGTCTGCCAGTGGCTGGGGCAAGCAAGGTCTTCACAACTTCTTGACCTGGATCTTCCAGTGACCTGACTTGATCCCCTCGTTTGATGTCACGCCTGACTTGTCCCGGCCTGCTTTACAGGTCACTGATCGATCACGAAACTCCAAAGTTCGGACGGTCCTGGGAGTGAGCATCCGACAAGCACAACATCCACATGTAACTGGAAGTTCGAGGACGAGGAGAGTTCGAGGACGGTTCTTTTAGCTTCAGAATCGACGTGAACTTTAATCCGGGCTTGCTATCGAACGCGTGTGTTGCAAAGAACCTGTTGGTGCTAATAGGTCTTGACTTGCATCCTGCATGTAGCTCTCCAATCGAATTAATGACAAACTAGAATATTCATATTCCAAACTGCCACACGGTTTGTGACTGACTGCCACAGGGTTTCTATGGTTCCCTAACACAGTAGGCACAATTTGACCCCTCCTTGGTGTCCCAACCTTCAAACTCCAGCCCAGCCTGGAGAAAACCACAATTACCACTACCCAGTTCTCTGCACCATATCCATCCATATCCCAGGTTGACCGGAACAATCCGTTTCAGCAAAGCTACGTACCAACATTCTGCAACATTTTCTGTCAACAAATGTAACCAATGTTTAACCGAGGTCCGTTACGGTAAGAAACCATATGTCTGAATCAGCCCTGTCCAAGAGCCTGAGGAAAATCATTTCGCTCTGTCCAATACATCCACCGACGTCCCTTCTTCCCAGGAAAACTCTGGAGACGGTCGTCTTCCCAAGGGAAAAGCCAGGCAACGAAAAGACAGTGTCCCGCAGACGCGGGTGGCACTGAAATCTTTTAGACAAGTAGACCTGGCAGCATTAGAATCTAAAGCTTCAAGCACTTCCGCACCCGAAAAACCTCTCTAAAGCACTTCAGCAGCCATCGTCAACCGTTCAACACTTCTGCCGCCAGGCACCTTTTTCTTCTGCGATGGACGTTTCAGAGTCACGCCTCCCAACGAAAATCTGGGGCTAGCACCAAACATCACCAAACACTCCATGCGACTGCCATATTTGCGTACCTTGGGATGGTTTCAGGGGCTAATGGGGCGGCACATATAGGCCATGTATGGCAAACATGGAGTGTATGCGGTGAATGGGGTATTGTACATCCTCACTTGGATCTCATAGGCCCTCGCTACGCTGCTCAAAGTGACGGGCTCAGGCCACAAACACCACACCCGAAACGATGGCTGGCGCAGTCACCGGCGAAGGTCTTCACACGATGGCGCTGGGTCTGGCGAACTCCGGGTCCGGTCTTTGCGGCTCGGCGTTCGCCCCAGCCCGGAGTTGCTGATTCGGCGCCTCAAAGCATGGTTTTCGATGCCCAGAAAGACATCAAACACACAACACCACTAGTTAGTGTCCATGTTCGAAAAGATGTCCATTCAAACAACCGCACAATTTTGGCAGGTTCCCCTACCATCCCAGCCGCGGAGATGTCCACAACTATGCCCGAAATCAAAACAAAACAACACTAAGTCTTTCAGTAGCTGCAGAACCCTTGCAAACCAAGTAGCTGCAGTGGCTGGAAGCCGCCACAGTGTGGCATTGCAAAGGGCATGTGCCATAGTGAGCGTCCCTAAAATGCCAATGAGCACCAGCACCACTTGCCCGAAGACTAAGAAGATCAACGACAACGAGCCTGGCAAGGCGCAAGGCTCGTCCTTTATTTTGAGCCGTGGCCCGGCACTCAGAAGGAGTATTAAATATATATTACCCTAAGACTCCGGCCGGGCCCGAAGCAACACATAGGGTTTTGAGGGCCTGGTTTCCCTGCCATGGAGGGTCCGACTCCCTGCCATGGAGAGGGGGCAAGGATTCTTAGGGTAGATCAAATATAGCATTATAATGTATTGTATTTTGTATACTTTATAATATTATATATATATGATTTATATATAACACACGCAAATATGCAGTATATAATGCCACGTGGATACATAATTAGATTATACAAATGTAAATGTACATACAGTATGATATTATATGATTCTATGATATTCTGTGAACAGCACATTTTGTGGTTGATGCTGGCTCATTCCCTCATTCCCTGACAAAATGCTGCTGCTGTAACACTGCTGTACAGCAAATATATATATATATTATTGTTATTATATACAGCCAAAGTATATTATGATACAGCAACATCATAAATACAGCAACTTCATAAATGATCGAATTCTATGCCCACGTGTTCTCAGAATTTGCGGTGTTTCATGATACAGGTGGTTCAACGGTGGTTCCGAAGTCGTGCATGTCATCTGCCATCTCGAAACCGGCGGAGGCGTGCTGGTGCCTGCGTACATCAAAGCTAATCGATGTGAGGCCGTTGCCTCGGAAGCGATTGACAACATATTGTGTTAAACACATAGCTTTTTGTTACTAGTAGCGTCCTTGCTCCTAGTAGCGATGCCAGGAGCCCCTAGTAGCTTCTTGCTCCTAGTAGTACGGCCAGGAGCCCCTAGTAGCTTCTTGTTACTACCCAAACACTCCATGTATGCCATATATGCCTACATTGGGGTGGTTTGGGGGGTCAATGTAGGCATATATGGCATACATGGAGTGTCTGGGCTATATGAATAGCATATAATAACCCTTGTGAATGATGGGTTGGGTGTCTATCCAAACATTTTCTAGAGAAATGGTGTCTGCAAAATGATCTCCAATGATATGTCCATTATGTGGATAATCCAAAACCATGTCACTCTATAAAATGAGAGTCCAAAACCCATTTCATAGTGGAAAGTGATTTGCATTTTCTAGAGCTTGGCTCACGGGGGTTGCATAGAGAACATAAACAACATAACTCTATACAACACAGTTTTAATGAATCTATTGTAATTGTAATTCATCCACCATGCATCCAATTCACCCAATTCTGCCTACGAGACTAAACTGGCCATCCAGCAAATTCTCTGCCTGCAACATCTGAGAACTTGAGGAATTGGCGACTAATTCGAAAGGTTTTAACATCCAAAATGCCACACAAGTCACAAGTCAAACGGGTGAAACACAGCTGGCTCCTCAGCTGACTCCTAGCCCCTTTCCTCTTTTTGCATAGATATCCCAGCCTTCAAATCAGCTTTTGGCCTCCGGTCCGGTTCCCCACAAGAAAAACACCGCGATACACTGCACACCCGCTCTTTGTTCTCTTCTTCACATTCCACCGCATTCACCGTCTTCGTGGCTTGGGGTGTTCGACCAAGTGTCTTCCACTCCGAAGACCAGGGGCTTCCAGGCTGGATCCAAGCCACCGCGTGCGAAGTAGCAGCCCTAACGGCGCGACCGGCCGCTCGAGCCGGACGAGCTGAGAGCGAGAGGCGGTATACGAAGCGCCGAAATGTGCGAGAGGGCGAGCCGTTGGCAAAGGGTGTGGTGCATTCAACGTTCCTTTTATTTTGTATTTTCGTGTGGTACTTGTGGGGCGGCCTGCCCAACAGAAAAACCTGCCCAGGGATATTCTAAGATTGAAGCTGACCCTTGATATGTGTTGACTGAGATCCCCTGCTTCACAGCCCACAACGCCATACAACGCCTATCCACAGGTCCACAGGTGTTTCTATCTATTCATGGCTTCATCTCAGTGGGGGCTCCATTCACGTTTCTCTTCGCTAGTTCCCACCCATCCCAATCCGGAGCAACGGCCAACGTGTTGTCCAAGGGGCCCACAGGGCCAGCAAAAGCAGCATGGCCAGGAGCCAGCTGGTCCGGCAATAGACCGCCAATGCGAAGACGCACGAGCCTGACCGCCCACGGGTCAGGCGGCAGCACCGCCACGCGCGGTGCGGGACAAGCCGACCGCCAAGCGCTCCGGGCCGGCAGAACTGGGACGTCAAATGCACGATTAGTACCCAACAGCAGGGTTTGCATAGAAACAATTCCCCAAGATGACCTATACCGCCATGTCCGGCGCTCGACTCAAAACCGACGTCACCGACTCTCACGGTCCGGTCCTGTCAGCCTGCCCGAGCAGAACGATAGAACATGGATGAACATGGATCAAACAGTCAGGCCATGTCCGGCCTATGGTGAGATAATTCGCCTGAAAGTGGGCAATATTTCCTGAGTCCAGCGGCGCTCATGTCAGACTAGTCAAGCATGCAACGAAGGTGCTCCACTGCATTAACAAGAAGCACAAGTTAATCAAGTTATTGGCTATGCAGGACCACATGTCTGCTCATGTTGGTGCTCTTTGCACCCGCAGACCATTGGATCAATATAAAATACATCTAGCCCCGCTCAGGAATGTTCCTGGACTTGCTTGGGATATCTTGGGATTCTAATGCAAACCCAAGTTTTCACAAGGCATACTACAGTATGGAGATTCAGCAACACACTAACAGATTGAATTTGACCCGCAATTCAGAAGCATATATGAGATTATCAAGGACTCCTATTTTTCTGAACCACCATTATAGAACTGTTCGTCGACCCCCTGTCCCACTCACTTAGAGCCGTTATAATGGCCGTTTCAAACAACAGCCACTGTCGAGCAGTTGCCGCAGGCAGAGAAGCCGACATTGGAAGTTCCAAGACCAGCAAAAGGTTGGGGAACTCCCGTGGTCGCCGGCTCATCTGGTTACTAGGCAAAATGATGGAAGAACATGGATAAGATCCAGGATAACCCTGACGTCCCTCTCGCCGTCGCGACCTGTCTCGTGACCCCCAACTCCGGGGACCCACCGCC